AAAAAAAAAAAAGACAGGCATGAAAAATAAAAAAGTAGGAATAACAATGGCAAAGAGAATGTATAATATCACAGCAATCACGACTCCTCTTTATTAAAGATTCTGTCTTTTTCTTTTTCTCTTTCTTCTTCTTTTTTTTTTTGCCTTTTATCCCTCTTTATTTATTCCATGTACCTGTGTATGTCTGAAAAGTCTCCAGCTCCACATGGTACACACTGTGCCTTTTCATTATTTTTTTTTTTCTTTTCTTTACTGTTTTTTTTTTTTTTTCTTTTTATTTTTTATTTTTTTTTTTTTTTTTTCTTCTTTTTATTTTTTATTTTTTTATCCCCCCTTTTTTTTTTTTTTTTAAGTACAGATAAACTTCTCCCATCTTCAACGGATACAATTTTTTTTTTTTTTAAAGAAGACGCACTCTGTTTCGTGCAGTAGGAGCAATATACTCTTGATCGTTAAGGCAAATGCAAGATGAATACAAAGTTTTAAGTACAAAGAAAAACAAAAAACAAAAAACAAAACAAAAAAAAAAGAAAAAGAAAAAAAAAGATGTTCCTCTTTTCTTGCTTATCTAGTAAGATCATCAAAACACAATCGTGGAACAGGTGGAACGGCTGCTGTTGTTGGTGTTGTTGTTGTTGTGGATTGCGCTGGTGGTGTCCTGCCTGAGGAATGACCACCCGCACTGTTGCGTGGCTTTAAGGCCCTCGCAGATGAGGCCGACGAGAGGCGCTCCGTTGTACTTGCCGTTGGCGAAGTGCCTGCTGCTGTGGGGGAACGTGGGGGAATCACCGCCATTCCATTTGTAGAGGGTCTACACTTGACAAGTTTTAACGATGATGGTGGTCCCATTTGATTACTCTCACTGCTGCTTCGCTGCTTTAGTGTCTTGAGAACATTAGGATCGTAGAAAGGTTTCGGAACTGCCGTTGAAGGTGGGGTTGTGGGCATGGTGGATACGGACTGGGGTGGAATGGGTTTGGGTGAGTTTAATCGACTACCCGAATTTGCACGGGTGGTTGTTGTTGTTGTTGTGGTCCGTTTTCCACTTACGCGACTGCTGAGTTGTGGGACTCCCGCGGTGTTGGAGCGTGTGAACTGCGTTGTGCGTGTGCGACGGAAGGCATCTCCTCCATGTGTTTTTGTAGAGGATGATGATGTTCCTGCTGCTCCTACTCCTGCACGTGTGTTATTTGTTTTTTTGGGAACTGGGCGTGGCCCCACCTTTAGAGACTCCACTCTTTAAGGTAGTGGAAAGACGTGTGATGGTTCGTCGAGTAGATCTTTCATTACTTAAATCCATTGTTGTTCGACGTGGTGTTGGGGTTTGACTGCTCTTTCCATGATGTAATTCTGCCAAAGCGGCAAAGCTCGGCGGTACATCTGTTTTGGCACGTGCGAATCGTGTTACTTTAGCCGCTGGTTTACTGTGCGTTCCTGATGCTTCTGGAATATTCACAGCACTCATATGTCGTGCGAAATTAAAATTGGGATCATGTTGAGCTAATGTGGAAGTAGCAGCAAAAGTAACATCATTATCAGATACCGGCACCACAAGGGCAGTTGCACGACGTCCAAACTTACTTTCTGCAGCCGGTGTTTCTTGTTCTCCCACAACCCGCTGAAGCTCTTGATGTTGTGTTGGTCGATCCCTCTTAGGTGTCTTTCCTGTAAAGGTGGCGGTGCGAGAAAAGTTTACATTAGCGACGCCACTCCTACGTGGTGTAGAGTGTGCACTTGCGGTGGTGTAGCTGCGGTGAAAGCCTGAGATTCTCGTATTGGGTTTACTGCCTCCCACTGTACGGGCCAAATTACTGCGTTTTGCCCCAACCTCCAGTTTCTCTAATATACGTCTACTATCCAATACACTTGTATCTGCGCCTGTTTTTCCTATTCCACCTGATCCTCCTTCCTCTGCAAAGGCATCTTTTTTCATGGGAATCATCAACCGCAGTGTGGAGGTGGCATTTGTATTCACCAAACTCTCCTGTCGCACAAGTCTTGCCAGTTGCATGACCCGCTCCGAATTACGAATGAGTTCCATATAACAGACGTGCTCTGTCTTTGGGGCGAGATCCCAGTGATCATACCAGAGCAGCAATCCATATAAGGCATTCCCCGCACGGCGGCGGCGGTGATCGACGAGACGCGCGAGGACGTCTCCCTCTTCAATCGCCCAACGACCGCCAAGTCGCTGCGGGCGGCCGGCGATTTCCGCCACAACTCCGCGGAGTTCATGCATGAAAGAATGAAATTGCGCCTCCGGCCGTAACTGCACGGCAGGGACGAGAAGACCAAATTTGTGAAGAGACTGGCGGTTGATCACATAGAGTTCCATCTTGAGACGATCCAGCATTACACGCAGACAAACACGAATGAGGGCAATCGCCTCTTCAGAGAATTTAAAGTCTGGAGGAAAAACGGAATAGCCGCCTGTTCCACTGCATTCTCCCATGGATTCTTGTAATAAAGTCTCAATACGAGAACGTAACTCCGCATCATCCTTAAATCCACTTAACTCCAATCCACACATTCCACCCTCACCATGAAGAAGACGAAGAACTGTACGTAATTCCTCATCCTTAGATATAAGTGCTGCACTGAGTTTCTCCTGCTCTTCACGTTGTTCCTCAATCATTCGGCGTTGTTCCTGTAGTAAAAGATCATTATTTTTAACAGATTTCTTTTTCACAGCTGTATTCTTCTGTTTTGCCGCTTGTAGTTTAGAGGCAGCCGCCTCATATTGACGCTCTGCAGCTGCAAGTTCTTCACATTTCTCTGCATACAATTTCTTAAACTTTTCCATCTCTTCCACTGTGGTAGTTGTATCAGTGACTGTGTTCTTTTCTAGTTCTTCCTTCTCACGACGTAGACGATCAAGAAGATCTTTATAACTCTGTAATTGTTCTTCATATGTTTTAATATCATCAATAAGTCGAAGATTTTCATTCTCAAGTTCTGCCAAAACGGTTTCAAGTGCAACCACAGATTCAATAGCAGTTTCCTTCTCAAATCGATCAATCGCATTAACAGCAGCTGTAGTACATCCCCTCTCACCAAGTATCTTCTTTGCACGTGCTGCATTACTCTCCACACGCAAATCATCCCATGGAACTTGACCACTCTTGTGAACCATATCCCCAGAATCCTTGTTGTTGTTATTGTTATTATTATCAGAAGCAAATTCAAGAGCAATACGTTGCATAGCACGTCGTTTCCACATACGTGCAATTGTTTTTAAAGCACGAATTTCATCTGACATATTACGAAGACGACGTTCAAGTTCAGCCTCATTGATGGCACTCGCCTCTGCAAGTGCCTCTTCTGTACGACTAAGGAATGTCTCAAGTGAATTAATGTCTCGCAAGAGTGCGGCATTTTCCTCTGTGGCATCAAGTAAAGCTTCTGAAACTTCTGTCATTTCATCCTCCATCTGCGAACGGCGGAGTTCATTCTCAAGATTGGCATCCTGTGCAACTCGTAGTTTACTCTCCAGTAAATGGAGTTCAGCACGTAAATCCTCTAATGCCTGTTCAAGAGACCAAATACGTTCACAAAGTACACGTTCCCGCTTTGCAGCGTGGTACCGCTCACGTACACCATCTGAAGTAGAGAGGTAAACATGCATTCTTCCAATATCTTCCATTTCAGGGTCTTTACGATGTTTTAGTAAAATCTCATCTGCAGTTAGTTCTTGTTCCCCTGTAGTGATAGCAGCAGTAGTAGTAGTAGTAGTAGTAGTTGTTGTGCTTTCAACAGGTTCTGTGGCAGTTTGTGCGATAGCATGGTTAGCATTCTTCTCACCATCATCATTATCCTCATCAACACCAACATCACTGTTATCTTTACCCATGGAAGCTTCAGGTGTGACACGTGTTTTAGACATTTTACCATCGGGTGAATTACTCTCACTCACTTCTTCATAATCACTGCTCTCTGATGATTTAGAAGATCGACCATCACCTTCTAATGGATGTAAGGCAGATTTCAAAGCAGCAATAGTAGTAGAAGTAGTGGTAGTGGTGGCGTTCGTATCCTTACCTTGTGGAGAAGTGCTCTTCTCTAACTCTGCCAAACGGCGGGCGAGTTCCTCAAATGTAGCGTTGCGTTTCATCATATTCTTATATAAAGATTCATTCTCACGCACGCAGTCTTCGTAACGCTGTGAATCTACACTGTGATCACGAATAGAAGGAGAAACCGATGTACGGTAAAAAGCACGTGCTGCCGCGCTTGCCTGCATAGGTGTAGAGACAGGTACATGTGTATCGATAACATCATATGGACGAACAGGATTTGGTGAAGAAGATCCATCCTTCTCTCCTATGAGGTGATTGTTTACAGAAACCATGCGGGAGCGAGATGCGGCATCTCGTTGACATTGATATTCAATCGTTCTTGACTGTGCTTGAACCATATCCAGTAGTTTAGCCCGTTCCCGTTGTAATTGTTCTAAACTATCCTCACGTGCGGCTGTGGCGTTCTGTTGAGAAAGAGATCCATTTCCATCACCTGCGGTAATATCCCGGCGAGAGAGACAGTTGATATCAACATAGTGGAAAGATAAGAGATGATTCTCCGCACCACCGTCAGCAGTGTCTAGATAAACGCAGAGAACATCACCATGCACCAACTGTCGGCGATCACCACTTGTTAAACTGCATCCATTGAGTTGACAGTCTACATTGCAACCCAGAGAATCAGATCCATTATTATTATTAGAAGTAGTACCTTCAGGAGAAATGTATCTTAGCCAGTAACGTTGTTCACATGATCGTCGAGAAACGCGTTCAAACTCAATGGTACCGTAATTTGTCTTGATCTGATGCTTTTCATTTTGTTGCTCTGGTTGATGTTCCTGCTGTTGCTGCTCTCCTCCTTCATCCTCTTGTTCTCTCTCTCTTTCTTCTTCTTCTTGTTCCTCAAGTGCATGTCCATCATCATTCTGACATTTTTGTTGTTGTTGTTGTTGTTGTTGAATGTTCTTCTTCTTCTGTGCTTTGCTTAAAAGATCAGACAAATTAAAACGAGTCACATTCTTTTCGAGTGATGTGACTCCAATCTTTCCACCTTCTACACATGAACCACCAATTCCATCTATACTGGTGTACTTACGATGGGCTGTAATGACAATTGGTACGGCAGCTGCAGTTGTAGAAGTCATCAACGTCTCTGTCATTGTGTTTGCAGTACGATGAATATCACCTGATTTAGAAGTAATGAATTTCCCATGATGAAATGGAACCTCGCCTGTTGCATCTACAGTTCCCATTTCTTCATTATAATCCATTTCTTGATTAGAACCTCTAAGAAGTGCATCAATGTGATGCCGGAGTTGTTCATTCTCCTGTTTAAGAATAGCATTTAACTCTAATAAATTAGATCGTGTTTGAAATGTCTTATTCACAGTTGGACGATTACGAATCTTTCGAACATCTTTCGCATACTGCAATGTTGCACATGATTCCTGGTAGCAAAACGATACTGGAGCAATCGTCGCAATCATAAAAGTTTTGCTATTTCCACCCAAGTTATCCTTCAATACCATCGTTAATAGTGAATCTCGGTAATTGACATACTTGGCTCCACGTGAGATTTCATTAATTACACGTGCGAGAGTAGCAAGTGACTGATTAATTTGAATCCCTTCATCACGACTCTTTCCATCGGTTTTTGCAGTTTTCTGCCGTTCACTACCGGCGAGATCAACGAGATTAATGGTGGCATTTAATTCCACAGACTCTTTTGTGAGTCGATTGGTTCTCCATTGTGTAACTCGAATCTGCAATACCGCGTGACTGCGACTACTGCGTGCATTCATTCCCGTCTCGCCGGTTTGTCGTCTTCGTAGTCCCAATTCAATAAGAGGATATGATTTCTCTGCAGATCCCACCACGTGTTGTTGAAGATCTTGAATAATCATCGTTTCATCTTTTCCACCAAAATCACGGGCAAAGTTAACACGTAATGGACCTTTACGTGAGAAGAGACAATATACCTCATTTTGGTAAATCTCAAAGAAGGCAAGTTGTACACGGTAGGAATACTCTGTTTCCATATTACTCTCATACTCCTGTTTGATATTCTCCAAACGTTTAAAAAGATCATCCACTGTACGTGGAACCACACCAGGATCACGGCGAATACAAGTGGTATCTCCAAAGAGTGTAAACGTCTTTCCACTTCCGGTTTGTCCATATGCAAAAACACAAGAGTTAATACCTTCCACCGCGGCAGAAACGGCATGTACGGCTGTACACAAATACACATCTTCTTGTGTACCATACTCGGGTGGTCGAATAAAGTCACTGTTGCGAATAAGAGGCATCTGCAGCATAGATTCCGCATCCATAGAGTTTAAACATCTATCATACTCAAAGTAGTTCGCTGTGGCTGTGGATGTTAATAACTTTCGGGTGAGATGTTTACTCTTTCCACCAGAGGCACGGGCAGTGAGGAGTTGTACAACGTTATCCGCATCCCGGGCAACACATGAGGTATCATCTAATGACTTGGGATCATGCAGAAGAACAACATTCTCCATTGTGGAAACACAAATCTTTTGGGCTTCTTTAATGTTCTCACGAGTGGAGCGGCGGGTGGCACTTTGATTGATGGACATTCCAGGCACTGTAGCGACATCCCGTACACGTACACAGACGTAGATATGACCATCATCCGGGTACTCGTAACTCATTCTTCTTCTTCTTTTTCTAGTGTACTAGTACTAGTAGTAGTAGTCCCTTCTGTAGATTCTTCTCTCTTTCTTTCTTTCTTTCTTTTGTTTAATATATATATACGTATACTTCCCCTCTGCTTGTTTGGTTTTCTTTTTTTGGTTTGTTTTTTTGTTTTTTTTTCGCTCGTGTGTTTACTGTCGATTTCTTTTTCTTTGTGTTCTCCTCACTGTTCTTTGCTTGCCTCTCCGTGGGATTTTCGCACCGGAGGCAAGTAGAACAAGGTGTGGAAGTGTAATGTACTATGTATATATAGATATATAATTATAAAAAGAAAAAACAAGAATAAATAAATACAGAAAAAGAGAAATCAAATAAAACTGATTAGAGAATAATAATAACAATAATAATCATAAAAACAAAAAACAATAATAAGATAATTCAATAAAAATAAAAATATAAAGCATAATAATAATAATAAAATGCAAGAGAAAATACTATAAACTCTACAGACTGAGAGAGCGTGTTCTTCTCATTGTTGTCTTGTGGCGTTAATGCCGTCAAAATGGGAGAATGAAAGAAAAAAAAAAGAAATTTAAATTTCACAGTTTCTTCATTTATTCCTTTCCTTTACGGCATGAAAACTTCTCAAGAAACAGTATATATAAATATAGGTATACCTATAAATATATATATATATATATATATATATATATTAGATATATATATAGAAATAGGTATAATCACAGTGATTTTTTATGGGAAAAAAAAAACAAAAAAAAATCAATCAAATTATAAAAAAAAAAAAAGAATGGACAACGTAGAAACTGTATGCCCTTATGCACATGCTATAAAGACAGACCAATACGATGAGAAGAAAGGAAAAGGAAAATAAACAAAAAAAAAGAAAAATACGCATCACACTAACTCTAATAAAACTGCATATGCATATTATTTTCCTCAATTCTCAATCCATAGGGGTACTGGTTCTTCTCTAAAGTTTCGTTTCCATTTATGTGAAAACATCTCACTTTATACATCTATGTATATTATGTGGGTCTGTAATAATATATATATATGCACAAAAAGAAATAAATAAAAAAAGTTTGCATTCAGTTAATAAACCTTACGGTTTCACTGCTCGTACAAACTTCGATGGTTCTGCAGAAAGATCATCTGAAGAGTCATTGATAGGAGTTGTTGTCCTTGCCGCTGATGTTAATCCTATATTTGAACCTTTTCCAGCTTCTGCCGCTACTGCCGCTGCCCCTAATCCCAATCCTAATCCTAATCCTTCTTCTGGTTTATTCACAGCAATCACTTCAATACCAGAACGCAATGGTTGTTCAGGTGATTTTTTTAATATTCCAGCCGTTGGTGCTACACTTGGCACTTGCTGTGAACTACCACCACTACTTAATGGTTGTAATGGATTCAGAGATGTTGGTTGGGAACATGTGGGTGGAAGAGAACTAAACGATGATGGTGTATAATGTGCATCTCGATTTGTTTCATTTTCCAAAATATGATGAATAATATTGTGAGTGGTAGCAATATCTTTTAATTGCGATTCCATACGTTGTGCATTTGCAGCAGATGATGTTTGTCCAATTGGGAAATTAGAAAGTGGTGCAGACCACTGCACAGGATCTGGTACAGTAGTCGTTATTGTTGTTGTTGTTGTTGTTGTTGTAGGGGCTGTAGTTTCTATTGTGGGTACCGCAGATGGAAAGGATAATGGTCGCATCATATCAAAGGCTGGAAAGGGTTGTAGATCTCGTAATGGATCACCACCAATTGGTAATGGATCTGAAGGAAAGTTTAAAGGTTGTGGTGTATAGGAAGAAATTCCATCCGATACAGCAAACCCTGATGGTGCTTGTACAAAGTGAGTAGATTGTTGTAGAGATTGATTACTTCTTAAATCTAGAGGTACTTGACTCGTCCTTCTACTCTCTACAAGTCCATTATTATTCGGTACCATCAATTCAGCTCCTGAGATGTCTGTTCCTGGTGATGTATTTAGTCTAGCATTACTTGTAGTTGTGGTGGCTGTGGCTGTGGTGGCTCTTCTTGGCATTGGTGGTAATTCTCCCCGATCTTGTGCTCTTTCTCGTTCTTCACTTTCGGCTCTTCTCTGTTCTGCCTGTGCGGCTTTACGGCCCATCATTCGCACTCTCTCTTCCGTCTCCCGTCGTTCTTCCATAAATGCCGCTCCCTTTTCCATTCCCATGCCTCTCTCTTTTTGTATGCCTAATTTGGCTTGGCCCATCTCTGCCTGTGCGAGACGCTCCAGTCGTCTTTCCTCTTCCGCTTCTCGTTGTTTCTCAAGGGCTCGTTGACGACGGCGTTCCTCCACTAATCGTGCGTTTTCTCTTTGAACTTCAATCGCCCGTTGACGTGCCAATTGGCGTGCATTCAATTCATCCCCATCATCGCCACTCGGCATGGCACCGGGAGGCAAAACACCGGGAGACTGTCTAGACTGTGGACGAGTACCGTAATGGTTTCTATTATTTGCAAATCCAGGCGCAGGCGTAGGAGAGACACTGGGTGCATGAACTTGTACAGGTGGTAATGATACTACTACAGGTGTTTGTGGTAATTGTTGTTGTAATTGTTGTGGTTGTTGTTGTAATTGTAGTTGTAATGGTTGGGCATTGTAAGGACTCGGTGGGGTCCATGTTGGGGGGATATGCATACCCATTCCACCATCCAATGCCGATGGGAACCGCATTGGAGATCTATTTATAACCAGTGGAGCTGGAATTAGTGGAGCTGCAGAGATTGGTGGAAGTACAGAGGGAAAACTTATGGGTCGTGGTTGATGATATCCATTGCGATCATCTGCGTAAGGTGCATTACTTGGCATTAACTGTGGTGATCGTTGTTGTTGCTGTTGTGGTTGCTGATATTGTTGATATTGTTGGGGTTGTTGGTGTTCTGCATACGGTGCCGCACTTCGTACTCTTTCTGGAGTTCGTTTTGGCCCCGGAATTCCCTGCAAGATCCCCGCATTGTGTCCACGTCCAATTTCATATTCAGAATCATTGTGTCCAATCTTTCCAGTTAACCTTTGTTTCTGTTTGCGTTGAGCAAGGAGCATATTTTATTTTTTTTTCCCTTTTGAGTTTGTTTGTTTGTTTCTATTTTTTTCTTACTCCTTACTTTGTGCTTTTGATTCCTTCTCTATTTCCTTCTCTATTCTTTTTTTTTTTTCTTTTTCTTTAACTATTGCTCTTCTTCTATTCTACCTACTTACGAAGAGAAATAATATATATATAAATATAAATATACAGAGATATGTATGTATGTATGTATGTGCTGTTCTACTCGCCTCGCCAACCCAAGGAGCTTGACTACACTAAAGCGGTATTGTGTGTGTGTAAAGGAGAATAAAAAGAGAAAAAGAGAAAAAGAGAAAAAAAGAAAAAAAAGAAGTAACAGAATATTACAGAAATCCCCTACGGGAGGAAAAAAAAGAAAAAACGATTGTTAGAATTTTTAACTATTCAATCTCACGAATAAAAGTCTATTGAGGTTTATATATCGTAGCTGGAAAGCGAGTTGAGGACTTTTTTCTTTTTGTTTTTCCTCTCCCCTTCATTTATTGTACATTTGGCGGTTGACTCAGCATGTAGATAGAAACTTAAACAAACAAACATACACATACGGAAAGAGAGAAATGGAAACTTCAAAAAATGATAAAAAGGAAATAGGAAAATAATTCCCTTTTAGTTGTGTAATGCTTTTTTTTTTCTCTTTTTTACTCCCCGTTTGTCTGTTTATTTCTGGTAAATAATTTTCCGCACAGAAGGGAGAGAAAGAAAGAAAGAAAGAAAGCGGTAAAACAAAAAAAAAAGAAAATCCATCGAAATGAAAAAAAAAAAGACTGTGTTGGTGGATCCGCAGCAAATAAAAAATAAGAATAAAAAACAGAATCCTCTTTTGTTTTCTCTTTCTCTTTCTTTACTCTCTCATTGTTTGTTTGTTTGCTTGTTTTTCGTTTCTTCGGGTGTATCTCTTCATACATACCTCCACATACACATACAAAGACACTATAGAGGTGGAGGTAGTGCAATCATCTGTTCTAGTTGATGTCGTTTCTGCATTCCCTCCTTCTTAATAGCGGCAATCTCATCACCTTGTATTTTTTCTAATATCAACATTTGTTCCTCACCCTTTGTAGAGAGTTCATCACACTTCTGACGTAATTGTTTCTCCTCCTCCGCAAGTGCCTCCATGCGTTCTCGTAATTTGGCAATATCATTTTGTACACGACTTGTATCCTTTTCACCTTTCAGCGCTAATCGAAAGGCATGACCCACACGTGACTCAAACAACTCTCGATGTGCAGTTTGAGCCGCAATACGTTCACTATGTATATGCAAGAGAAGTAATCCCCGCTCCCAACACTCCGCCGTAACTTGTCGAATCACTTCTAGAAAACACTCTGCTAATAATAAAGAACGAATAGGACAAATTCCTGTTCGTTTGGCGCCTGTTTCTTCTAATCTACGGCGTAGTTTCTCATGTGTTTCTACGGTGTCGGTGCGGGAGGCGGGATATGGACTGCCGTGCTGGACCCACAAGACTCCCATCTCATCCCGCCAGGCCCGTGGGGGAATAAAAGTGTCAATCACCACCCGCACATTGGGATCCACCGTTCGCTGCTCTAATGGGAGTCCGAGTCGTTGACGAAGACGATAGGAACGTTTTGGATCCGATGGGGCGAAGGGAACATCATAGCGAATGAGCGTTAAATTGGGATCGACGGGTCCATCTACAAAGACGTACTTGCGAGAGTTGTTGGAGTCTTCTTGTTGGGTGGATGTGTCGGTGTTGGCCTTTGGGGGAATTGTGGTGGTTTCTGGTGTTTCTGTGGTACTCCCCGGTGTTGTGCGGTGGGTGGCTGTTTTTTCTCTTGACTGCGGTGTGGGTGTGGATTCGCCCGAGCGCTTACCTGTTGGAGTTTGACTATCGCCCAGCATCTCCCACTTCTCTTTTTTTTTCTTTTTTTTTTTATGTTTTCTCATCCATATTGGGAGAGGAGATATAATAATGAAAAAAATAAGAATAAAAAGAAAGAAAGGAAAGAAATGTTATTTGGAACTTCTGCAGAAATGGTAATAAAGTAAATAAATAATAATATAGGTTATATGTATATCTTCACATCTGTAATATTCTTTCGACTTCTCTTTCCTTCTTTTTCTTTCACTCAATCCCTCCCTTTCTCTTTCTCTCTCTATGTACGAGTATATCTTCACATGCCGTAAAAACAACAATAATAGGTGGACATCGCATCACCAATTCATCTCAAACAATACTTCACAAAGAAGAATCGAGAGAGAATATATAATGAAAACACTCAAAGAAGTAAGTGAGTGAAATAAAAGTAAGAAAAAAAAAGATTTTTTTTAAAAAGACAAAACAAAACTGCTGAGGATAAATGTTGCAATGAATAGCAACACATTTCAAATTTAATATCGCTACGTCTTCTTCTATTTCTTCTTTTTTTTTCTCTATGTATCCAGCAGTATTCTTTAAGTTCCCATCACACCATCATAAGCTGTTCTGTTTATATATATATATATATATATATATATATATATATATATATATTTCTCTTCTCGACTAGTAATAGACTAGATCCCGCATACTTCGTGGTGTGTTTGCTGGAGGTTCAACCGTATTCAGAAACTTATAATCATCCACAATTGTAGACAGTACTTCCTCTGTGGAGTCAAAGTACGTCATTTCAAGATAAGGTTCATAGTGATGTACATGTGAACGAACACTGTAAAGTCGTATAAAACGCTGCAGTAACATATCTAACTTATGTGCCACAGAACAATGATTAGATAACATCAATAATGACTGTGGATGTCCAAGTGGACTTACTCCACATAATGCTGTTTTAAATCCATCCTCATTCCAGTATACTGGTCGCATTCGTTCCCGCAAACGTGGAATATTTCGTGCTAAATCGCCTACCGTTATCTGTGGTCCACGTGCAATGACGGCAGTGGCTAAAGAGGCACCCGCATCCCGTGTGAGTGCAGATGTAATTTCACCATGAGCCACATCCATAAATTGATGTTGTCTATCTAAACAAGCAGAGAACATGGCATCCACCGCACGTGGTCCAGTTGTATGACTATGTCTAGCCACACAAAGTGGGGCTAATGCCGATGTAACAAATACCAATCGTGGAAAAGGTACAAGATTTGTGGCGAGTTCATTCACATCCATATTAAGTGTACCGGGAAATCGCATCGCACAGGTGAGATTACTTAACATCTGTGCTACCAGTGCATTCATCGAATCATACGGCAGGGCCGTACGCGTTGGCTGGGCCACACTATAACGAGGCACAGCCCCTGTGGGTAATGGTGAAGTATTGATAGTAGTATTAGTATTATTATTAGAAGAAGTTGTTGTTATTGTTGAGTGACGGCCGAGAGCGGCATCAGCCATTCGTGCGAGGGCATCATTATCGAGTGGAAGAACAATATCGGCGTGTTCGGCTAATTCTCTCAATGCAAAGGCGGTATTATATGGAGCTGTCACAACATCATCTACATTTCCAGGAACAACGACTGGACAGAGACGGACAACATGTGGAAAGTCATCTTCTAACATTCCCAATACTCGAGTGCCGAGACCAGAGCCAGTCCCTCCACTTAATGAATGCATAAGAATAAAAGATTGTACACTTTCACATCTTTCTACTTGTTGCCGTACAGTATCGGCAATACTATCAATATAACGATCTCCATATTCCATATGCCCTACTGCCCAGTTATTACCCGCTCCACTCACATCGGAAACGAAGAAGTTGGCATCAAAGAGATCATGTAAAGGTCCACGCAACATCGAACGAAGAACACCTTCTTCCATATCAATAGCAACACAACGAGCCTTGAGAGAATTTTTTTTATGCCCATCACCTCCTATATTGTCTGTAGAGGGTTGAACATCAAATAATGCATCTCTGGCATCTGTAAATTGTGAATTCGCCTTATATTCCTGCAACATGACATCCCACCACTTAAGGCCAAGTTGATTACCACATTGGCCAACTTGAATAGATATCACTTCACGCGGCATCACTACCACACACACACCCCTTTACTTTTACTCTTAAATACTAAAATACTACTACTGATACTGATACTCCCCCACACACTTCTTCTGTCTTCTTCTTCTTTCCCCCCACCTTTACCAATACCAGAGAAAAATAAAAATAAAAATAATGGATAAGAAATAAATAGATAAAACAGGAGATACATATATACATATATTATACCCCATAAATACAATTACCACCCTTTAAAAGTACAAACCACCAAGCAGAAGGTAAAAAGAA